CCCAACCACCCCCATCCTCCCTGGCCTTCCCCAATCACCCCCATCCTCCCTGGCCTAGCCTGGCTGAGCTGTCATGTCTCTAGGGTTCCCTGACTCCCACCTCTAGCTCCAGGGGCAGGGAGAGGCCCATGAATCAGCTTTTTCCATGAGGGACTCACTCAGCATCTGGTCATTGATTCCACAGCCATCTCCTGAGCCCCTACTGCGTGCCCAGCTCTGGGGCTGGAGAACATGGGATTTATTCAGACCTTTCTGTACCCCTGGGGACGGTGCAGCAGTGAGATAAGCTGCCCACCCAGTACTACCAATCAGACCTGCCATACATAACGTTTAACCCCACCTTGCCCAGTGTACCTGCATCCTCATTGTTGCCCACACTCCCTGCCATTGCTGTCACTTCCCCTAGCCACAAAGACCACTCTGGACTTGGCTCCTGACCCAGCTGCAGCCCAGAGTCAGCTCTGGCACTTTCCACCTCAGCGTTTCTTTCCTGACCCTCCAGCCAGGCAGCCTTCATCCCTGGCTGAGCATCGGGCCTGGGTGGATCAGTCTGGCCAACTGTCAGCCTCCCCACCAGCCTGAAGTTGGCAAAGCCTGGCCTGTGGTCTGCTCCCCGCCAGCTGTCCAACACCCAGCATTGACCTGACGTGTGGTTGGCACTCAGAGGATATCTGCTGTGTGCCTGACCAAGAAAACAAGCAAATACAAGAACATACCCACAGAGGAGGGTGTTGAGTGCCAAAAATGGGGTCTGTGGGTAGGCACTGCCAAGGCAGGAGAGCTCACTTAGGGTGAGAGATGAGAAAACGCTTCCTGGAGGACCAGTCACGTAAGTTGGGCCTGGAGTGAGAGAAGCAAGAAGGTGTTCGGGTGGAGAGCGGGGTGGGCAGGAGGAGAGAAGCTATGTGTGCAGAGCACACTAGGGAAGCAGTGGGGTCGGTGTCTGGGCCACCTCAGCTCTGGCCACAACAGTGAATTAGGAAGATCACTCTGGGATTCCTTGCCAGGCAGGACCAGCTGGAGAAACAGGGTGGGGACAGGAGGCGGGAGCTGCATTTGGGCAATCCCAGCCCTGCCCTCCGCCCCCCCCAGGCTGATAAGGACTGCCAGGAAACAACCTTCTGGGCCAGGTGAGCAAGGCTACCCGAGAGGAAATTCAGGAGGGGCTGTGGGACTCGGTTTCTGTATAATTACAGATGTCTTACGGGCCCAGCACTCAGGAGAGAGCTGGTGGCTGTTGAGCCACAGTGAGAATGATACTGGTGCTGTAGTCCCTGAGACTCCAGCTCTGCACAACTTCCTGTGATGATGGAAAGGTTCTACCCTGTGCTGTCCAATGTGTAGGCACCAATGCCACGTGGGTACCAAGCACTTGGCAGGGGGCTACAGCAACTGAGGAACTGAATGTTTAAGTTTTATTTGAATCTAACTGGCCACATGAGGCTAATGGCTACCGTATTGAACCATGCTGCTCTGAACACAGCTGCAGCCTGGTAATGATGCCCCATCCCAGCTGCTTCATGGGGCTGAAGCCAGACTTGTCCCCGAGAGGGTCAGAGAGAGGAGGAGTAGCCAACAGAGGGCTCTGACCCAGGTCCTGCCCTCAAGGAGCTCTAAGATGAACGTACAAAGGAGGGCAACAAAGCCAGTAACAGCAACGATAACAGCTGCCAGGGCCGATCACTCGCCAAGTGCCAGGCACGTGCCACATCCTTTGCACACCCTGCCTTTATAACCATGCAAAAGGTCTGATTTCGCCCTAATGGGACTCTGGGAAGATCTTTTAAGATGAGATAAAGAACAGGCATACAGAGGTATCCAAGACCTCTAGTGTTCTTTGAACTCTACCTTAACGTTCTCTCTCCAGCCCCATTTAATGCCGAAGTTGCGATGGCTTTGATCAATGTCCTGTGGCCAGTGCCAGGCTGTCCTGCTGCCTCAGGTTCTACCTGTCAGCAACTGGAAGATCAACCAGCCTCACACGCAGCAATCAACCAATGTCATTCTGAGTAAAAGCCCCCAGATCTCAGACACTTCCAGCCCAGCCCAAACACAGAGGCCATGCGGTCAACTTAGTCAGAGTCCCGCTCCCACCATGCTGACGCAGCAGAGGAGCTCAGGCCTTTGGTATGTGCCTAGGGGACTACCAAGACCACCACAAGTGGCTCCATCTCAGACTACACTGTGACATCCACCTAAGCCCCCCTAGGTTTTGTTTGTTTATTTTTGAGATGGAGTTTTGTTCTTGTTGCCCAGGCTGGAGTGCAATGTCGCGATCTCGGCTCACTGCAACCTCCATCTCCTGGGTTCAAGCCATTCTCCTGTCTCAGCCTCCAGAGCAGCTGAGATTACAGGCATGCGCCACTGCGGCCAGCAAATTTTGTATTTTTAGTAGAGACAGGGTTTTTTTTTTGCCATGTTGGCCAGTCTGGTCTCGAACTACTGACCTCAGGTGATCCATCTGCCTCAGCCTCCCAAAGTCTGGGATTATAGGCGTGAGCCACCATGCCCAATCCAAGTCCCCTCTTGTTAAGTGGCAGGCATTTGGATGATGACTTATGTGTCCAGCAAAACCAAAACAGGAAAAGCAAACATATACGGTCAGGCGGAAAAACTGGCTCTATATTAAAATATGGACCTTACCTCTCAGAGACCAGACAGAAATGCACACAGCACAAACCCCCATTGCACAATGGGGATAGAGGGCAACCTCCTGGAGGCAGTTTAATCCACCCGAGAGTGAACGGGCCCTAACAGGAACACTCAGGGCCAACTGTGGACAGCGCAGCAGGGAGCACTCCTGAAGAGACGGTTTAGAGGAGACAAAATCCACCCTTCACAATAAACGTGCCTTAAGGGCTACATGCCCCTGGTCACATGCTGTGCCAGGAAAGGGTTCTGGGGTAACCGTGGGGTCAGTGGCCCCATGGATGCGGCTCTACTCACCAGAAAGAGGCCTAGGCGCCCACCAGCCCCTGAGCTTCCTCCTCTGGCAGGATCTACCCACACTCCCTGGGGGCACCTAGGTGGAGAAGGTTCCCAGCCTAGAAGCAGCCTAGGCGGCCGGTGTGTCCCTAACTGCACGCTCACAAGCACTCACTCCCCAGCCTGGGACACACAGGCCCCTTTGCAGTACCAGCATCTACACAACTGCACTGTGCACACCAAGCACAGGCCGCTCCTGCTGCGGGGCCAAAGGCCTGAAGGCACCGCACCACACCACGCAGCCTCGCCCAGCACAGCTCCCTTCCCGCCCCTCCTGCACAAAGCCCACCCGGACTTAGGGAGAAGGGGCCTCAATACGGCCCCGAAACGAGGCTACAGACCTTCTCGGGAGCAAAGGCAGCCACTGCAGGCAGATGGGGCTGAGGGCCGGGATAAGGATGCGGGGCAGGAGGAGCCAAAGGGCAGCGAGGCTGGGGGCGGGGTAGGCGGCGCAGGAGGCTGAGGGAGGGAAGAGGGAGAAGAGGAGAAGGAGGAGCGATGGCAGGAGGGTTGGTGGCCGAAGGAGACAGGGTCCCGGACAGATTCGTGAGAAATGGGAGGATGGGCAGAGGAGACGTAGAAGAGGGGACAGCACAGGACAGGACAATGAGAGGCGGAGCGCCGGGAGTGCGGTGCGGCCACCGGGGGCGCTGGGCAGGGGCCGGGATGTCCAGGGTCTGAGCGCAGGCAGCGGGGAGGAGTGGGTTCTGGGGCTTAGCAAGGGGGAGGTCCGCCCACCACGCCCCCCGCCCCCACGGCGTGCGCGGAGCCGGCCTCTCACCCTCTCGCCCGCCAGGGCTGCGCAGGCCGAGAGAAGCACTGCTCCTGCGGCCGCCACAGGTGCCCGGCGCCGCGGCCCAAGATGGAGCCGGAGCCGACCTGGCCTGGGCCCGAGACGCCGCCCGCCGCCGTCGGCCCGGCCCGCGGAGCCAGCGCCGGGGACAGGGAGGGGCCAGCGGGGCGGCCGGCACCAGGGCGGCGGGAGGGGCGGCGGGCGGAGACCTCGCTCACCTGGGCCCGCCCCGCTCCGGAGCCCGGCCCCGCCCCCGCCCCCGCCCTGCCGCGCCCCGGGACCTGCGCCCGCGCGCCCCCAGCCCACCTTCCCGACACCTCCCAAGGCCGGGTCCCCACTGCTCTCGATCTTTTCGGCCCCGCCCCCCACCGCGACAGCCTGTTCTCCAGGCTGCCCAGCGAACCCCCGAGACTCCCACCTCCCCGACGCAACCCCACCGTCCCAGGTGTATATGCGCAGCGCCCCACAATCCTCGGGCCCCAGACCCAGCCCCCCAAGTGCACTTCCTCGTAGCCCCGCCCCCTCGCTCCTGTTCCCCTCCCGCACCACGCCCCGTATTGAGGTCTCCGCGCAGGTGGCAACCCTTTTCCAGCAGCATTCGCCATCCTGGCCCCGCCTCTCACAATTCTCTGGCTCCCGACCCCGCCCACGAGACCCCCTTCCTATAGGGCCAGCTCCCCTCGGATACCAGGCCTGGTCTCCACTAGCCTCGGACTTCCAGCCCCAGGTCACTAATCCTGGACCCACAGTTCCATCCTCTGAGCTCCACCCTCACGGACCCGAAACCTGACTCCAGTCCCTAGAGCTCCATGATCCTGGCCAGGCCCCGGGAGCCCTCCACCGCCACCCAAGACCCAGTCCTGGTAGAGTCCTTCCCCAGGTTTTTGTCTCCAGTCCCGCCCCTCAAGACGGGTAATCCACCACCCCTTTCCACGCCCACGTGTCCCTACGCAGCCCAGCTTGAGGTCTTCAGTCTCCCAGCCCGTCGCCGCGGACCCCAACAGTGGGCGAGCGCGCAGTGACCGTGGGGGATGAGCCACCTCCACCGGAGCCGGCTTTCTTCCCCGCAATTCCCCGAAACGCCTTCCGGGACTCAGGACACCGGGGGCCAGCCCAGGTCCTGGGATCGCCAGGCCCCACCCTACCAGGCTGAGGACCCGGGCGTACAGTTCCCTCAACACCCCCAGTCTCCACAACCGCCGGCCAGCTTTGGGACGCAGGGATAGGCAGCCCGGTTTCCTCCACCCACAAGGGATTCCTGCTGTCCACCCAGGGCCACGTGGTATGAGGTGCCTGTACTATCCCTGGGCCCCAGTCTCAGACACTTGGGTCTCAATGTTCACCTTCTTCTGTTGTTCCCTGTCCTGGGACCCTAAACTTGTTTGCCCAGCCCTGTGCTGAGAGGTTTTCACTCCTCCCTTCCAGTGCATTGGAGCCAACACTATCTCTAATTCTCCCCGTTTGGGGAGCAAGGGGCCTCAGTCTGCCCAGAGACTCAGACTGCCCCAAGTAGCCCTCTCCAGTGAGGACTGACAACAGCTCTCAGATTCTGGCAGATAGCTACCTCTGGCCAAATGCCCACGGGGGTGTCCAGGTGAGGTCCCAACCTCTGGCCTCCCCAGTACACACTGCCTGGTAGGAGATCCTGCTTAAAGGGGACAAATAGGGGATTTGTTTGCCAAGGCCACTACCCACTTCTGCCCCTGTCTGGTAATTAGGACCCCTCCTTCCACATCTGAGTCACCTTACTCTTATTCCCTTTTTAGTGAAGTAGCCCCAAGAAGGGATGAGCTGCTTGTGGTTACACTGAGAGTTGGTGCCGGATCCAGGCCCTAAACCTGAGGCTTTCAGCTCCCAGGACATTTCAAGAACCAGAAACCTCACTGTGTGTGTTTCAAGGAAGCCTTCTTAGGGTGGGTGTCAGGAGATGTCTGCTATGCAGTCTACCTGCAGACACGGCTGGCGGGCTCTCACCACCAGGGCGTTGCCTTGGCTTGGCTCCTTGTTCAACTGGCCCCCTTCTTCCATTCATGGCCTGGCAAGGAGGCTCCCCTGGCTGTGGCAGCTGCCTAGGGAGAACCCAGGAAGGGGAGTCAGATCTGAATTCCAATCTCAACTCCCCCACATATTCACTGGCTCTGCAACCCCACACCCAAGCAAAACTGTTCATCTCTCTGGGCATCAGTTTCCTCATCTGCAGACAGGCAGTAATTATACCTACCTAACAGGCTGGGGGAAGAGGGCGGTTGTGAAAGTGTCCTGTGGAGTATCATTGCTGCTATCAGTCACTTGATCAAAATTTACTGAGCTCCTCCTGGGTCAGGTCCTGGAGATACAAGCTCCACTACATGGGGGAAGGAGGGGATGGATATGTGTAGATTGCTTTGGTAGAGAGCAGCTCAGGCCTGAGGACCACATGGACCAAGTGCCATTTGCTCAGACTCTGAACCCTGACAAAAGAAGAATGAGCCTGAGGTGCACTCAAGGGTCCAGTTCACACTGGGATGTTTGACGCACCACGTGGACAGGCGGGTTGCACATACAGGACTGGAGTTTTTTTGTTTGTTTGTGTTTTTTGAGATGGAATTTTACTCTTGTCACCCAGGCTAAAGTGCAATGGCACAATCTCAGCTTACTGCAACCTCCACCTCCTGGGTTCAAGCAATTCTTCTGCCTCGGCCTCCCGAGCAACTGGGATTACAGGCACCCACCACCATGCCCGTCTAATTTTTGTATTTTTAGTAGAGATAGTGTTTCACCGTGTTAGCCAGCCTGATCTCAAACTCCTGATCTCAGGTGATGGGCCCGCCTCGGCCTCCCAAGGTTCTGGGATTACAGGTGTGATCCACTGCACCCAGCCAAGGACTGGAGTTTTTCAGAAATCTGGGTGTCATGGGCATGGGGTGGTTGCTGAAGTCAAAAGAGTGGATAAGGTCTTCAGGGAAAAAGTAGAGTGAGGAGAGGGCTTAGAACCCACCCATGAGTCACCAAGTGACAAAGGGTGGAGGAGCAGCCAGAAAGGACAGAGAGAAACTGGGACATCGTGGTGACACAGGGCACCTAACAGGCTGGTGCAAGCGCCTTCAGTGAGGGGGCAGAGGCAGAAGCCACTGGTGTGGGTTAGGGGATGAGCTGGAGAAGGGAACCAGAGATGGTGCGTGTGTAGATGCCTCTTTTAAACGCGGCCATAAAGGGAAGAAGAAAGGTATCACATGGGAAGGGATGTGGGGTCAAGAGAATCATTTTTTTAATTCTAATTTTTTGTTTGTTTGCTTGCTTGCTTTAATATGCTGCATCATGTAGTAGGTTTCCTTTATTTCAAACAACAGAAAGCAAGTCTGGTTAAGTTCAGCAAAAAAGGGACGGCTGGGCACAATGGCTCAAACCTGTAATCCCAGTACTTTGGGAGGTCAAGGCAGGTGGATCACTTGAGGCCAGGAGTTTGGGACTATCCTGGCCAACATGGTGAAGCCCCATCTCTACTAAAAATACAAAAAAATAGCAAGGCATGGTGGTGCCGGCCTGCAACCCCAGCTACTCGGGAGGCTGAGACAGGAGAATCATTCCACACGGGAGGCAGAAGGTGCGGTGAGCGGAGATCACACCGCCGTTGCACTCCAGCCTAGGCAACAGAGCAAGACTCCATCTCAAAAAAATAAAAAAACAATTAGCTGATTGTGGTGGCATGCTCCTATAGTTCTGCGTCCTCCCAAGGTTGAGGCAGGAGGATCGCGTGAAGCTGAGAGGCAGAGGTTGCAGTGAGCAGGAATTGTGCCACTGCGCTCCAGCTTAGGCAGCAGAGTGGGACTCTGTCTCAAAAAATAAAATTATATTAAAAGTTAATCAAAAAGGGGATGTGTCAAAAGATTGCAGGGAGCTCCAGATGCTAATGCTCTTGGCCACGTTCTTCAAGGCAGGAGCCAGGTGACTCCAGATCCCAACAGGAGGAAACACTTGTTCTACAGTGTCACCACCACAGAAAGCATTCCTGTTCATGGTCCTTGGTGCGTCTCTCAGCTGAAGATTCAAAATCCCAGTGGAGTGGCAGCTCGTTTGGCAGAGCTATGGCCACATGCCCTCTGCCCTTGGATCCACATACCTGGAGGAATACCTGACCCAATGCCTCTCTAGGATCACCCCCTGTCCCATCAAGACTGCTCACAAGACAGTTTTCCCCAGCAGGGAGGTTGAAGCCTGAGTGGCCAGAAACAGACAGATATCCACTGTACTTTGTAACAAACTGTGCACATTTGACAGCTGGGGAGAAGGTCCCATTGGGAAGAAGTGGACGAGACATGCAGGAGCAGCAATTGCTACTGGCATAAGGTCCTCAATGGGCTGAGATCCAGGAGTTCAATAGGAGGAAAGAGGTGACTTCCTTATGTAATAGCAGAGCAAGAAGAAATGATGGGGGTAGTACCGAGGTACTGCAGTCTCTCTCCTCTTGGGAAAGAAGGTTGCTGGCAACCTTAAATCTACATCCTCACATCTCTGGATCTAAACAACCCACAAATCAAATCTTACTGACCCTACTTGACAATCCTGGACCAGAGAGAGAGCTCTTCAATTGGCCAGCCTGTGTCACTGCTCTTCCCAGGAGGGCAGGGCCCTGCAGTAGGACTGACAGTGGGTCACAGAGACCAGAAAAGAGTTGTTCCCCAAAGGAATGGCAAGATGCTGATGCCAGACTAAGCGAACCTGACACTGAGCTTGCCCAAAGCACAGATGACCACTGGGGACAGCCTCTGTGCAAGTCTTAGAGGAAATGCTAAGTTGGAATGTATCAGTGCTTAAGGAAGAGACAGCCTTGATTCAGTTAAATGCTATCCACTTTTCTAACAAAAATATCCCTAGGGTAAAAGAGACCCCTGTAGCCAAAAGAGCTGCAAGTGAAAAGGCTTTTTGTCTGACA